AGTATTACATAAAAATGTTTTCATTTTAACAGCATCGTTCAAATCTGACGTTTTAAATTGCGACAATTTAAGCATAATGAAATTCATAATGGGAGATTTTTTAAAAATCCATGAGATTTAGAAAAATTGATGAGATTTTGAGTATTTACATGGCCGTCAATGTATTTGAAGCGATAAAATCAAAATCTCATGAAATCATTTTCACACGGTATAGCTGTGAGATTTTGATGGTGTGAGATCGAAATCTCATGGTAATCACTTTCACACGTTACACCGGGTTTAAAAAAAAATTTTAAATTTAAACTTACTTACTTTTAAAAATATTTTAATGAAAGTGACGGAGTTACCTTTTAAGGGAAAGGTAACGCGTTTCTTTTTTTTGAATAACGGTAACGCAAAACGTTACTTGTACTTTAAATTTTTCTTTAAAAATATGGAAATATAATTTCTTTTTTTATGTATTTTGTTTTTTTTAAATCATATAAACAATTTAAGCCTAGTTTTTAATTCAGATCAACCATCAAAGTTCCTCATTTTTATTTTTTATTGCAGGTTTTTAAATTTCATACAGTTAATCTAATTATATTGTATAAATCAAGGTGTAATTTATATTCTCTAATAATTAAATTTATTTTATGAAGAAAATTTCAATTGTATTTAACATTTTTACACAAATAAAGAAAATTAAGGGTACTAAGTCTACGCTTTGTAAGTTTAGATTGTGCCCTAATTCAAATTTCAGCCTTAATGTCCAGCAGTTCAAATCTAAAAAAAACATGAAAGTAAACATGAATTTAGATTAAATTCTGATAAGGATTTTAAAAATTTGATGAGGATCCGAATAAAGATTTTTGTTTTTTGAAAATAATGATCTTTAACTCTTCATAGCGCAGGTGAAAGTAAGCATACCAAAAAACGATATTATTTAAAATTCTTATGGTATTTTTTTCTGGATCTTTTAGTATCTCAATATTTTACGTTATAGCAGGCGCGTACGCAGCGGGGGGGGGAGCAGAAAGACAAACCCCCCCCCCCCCCCCCCCCCCCCCCCAAAGCCAAAAAATGCAGATGCCGGATTATATTTTTCAAAAATATTATTGTTAATATTAATTTATATTTGTTAATATTTATTCTTATCTCATATATACACATATATATATATATTTTATTTATCACATTCATCTACTAAGTTATTTTATCAATCAATTTCGATTTCAAGTTTTCCTTGGCGTAATTTACCTATTATTTTCAAATTTTAGTGGCGTAATATTTATCTAAATTTCTAATAAAATAATAATTATCTCTGAAACTTCTTGTCCAACAGGGAGAAAAATTGCAAGCTTGTCCAACGAGATCGAGTCTCCGCCACAGTAACAGCTATTTTGGAGTTAGAAGAGCTGATTATTAATGCTATTACTGAAATATCACAATGGCTTGAAAGAAATATTTCCTCAGAAGCAAGAAAACTATTTTATTCAATACTTATTCCAAATTTTTTTTCTCATTAGAATGTATTATTTAATTATACAACTATTTTATGTAATACTTTTAAAAACATAACATTGACTTGATTAAGAAAATGAGAATAGCGGAGAGCATTTTATTAGAACTCAAGGAAATAGAGCTAGTGTTGTTGAAGAATTTCATATTTTATATGTTATTGTTGAGTCAAAAGCAGAGCTATACGTGTTAAATATTTGTCCCCCTCGACTTGCAGCAAGCAAGCTCATCATCAAAACATGAATATAGGATCAGTAGAAGAGTATTATAAAACAAATGTCCCCTCTCCCAACCTTTTTCATATGGTGATAGAAAAAAAATATAAATATTTGTTATATTTTTATCATGAAGATGTTAAATATCTTATGATGCCTTATTAGCTGAATAACTATGATTAAAAGATTAACTATGGTTGATACAGTCCCAAAAAATGCTATGGATGCTTTTTATTTCAAACACATTTTAGATTATACTCCCAATTATTAAAATGGTTATATATATTAGCAGCTCTTTAGTAAACTAATGAGAGAACATTCACTTTTTTAAGAAGAATAACAGAGCCTTGCAGAGGTACCATTTGCAGGACCAGGCCCAGATTTTATTTTAAAATTTTTTCCGGCCCGGGTTTTTTTTAAAAAAATTTTCAGGCCCGGCCCGGCTGGCTTAGCCCGAATTTTTTAAAATAAATTATATTTATTTTTGATATTTATAGCTAATAATGGCGATTTCAAATATTTGGTTTTAAAATATACAACTCGGCTCGGATATTTTTTCTTAAAAAATTTTCAGGCCCAGCCCGGGTGTTTTTAAAAAAAAAATTACGAGCCCGGCCCGGGTATATTTAAAAAAATTAAAATACGGTCCGGCTCAGGGGCCGGGCCTGCAAGTCTGTGAAAAACATACCTATGAAATACAACATCTGAAAGTAGATTGAATGATTTGGATCTTTTGAATATTCATAGACATTTAACGCCAAGCAAGGATTGATAATTGAAAAATTAGCTCAAAACATACAAAATACAATTATTCCTAAGAAACTTTTTGTGTATTAATTTATATTTACAACATTTAAATTTTTTATACTTTATATATTTTAAAAGCTCAAAAAATTCAAATTTCAATTTTGGGTCATTTAGGTGATTCATATCGTGGGTTATATTCACTTTATATTTTATGATTCACATTTAAATGCCGGTTTATATATATAATTTTTTAAATTCACATTAGTTTAAAATTGTGTATTAGAAAAGTTATTAATCCTAATAAATTTATGCTTAGTATTTTTAATTAAAATATTATTTCTTAAAAAATTTATTATCCCCCCCCCCCCCCCAGACCAAATTCCTGCGTACGCGCCTGCGTTATAGATATGGCAAAATTAATTTTGATTCTATTCGGTTGTTCATAAGTTGTAATTTTTTGGAGCTAAAGTGTCTGCATATACCCCACCTTGTCATCCGTAACTTTTTCCTAATATTTTAGCATTGATATATTAGGCATAAATAGACACTTTTTTATACAGCATTTTTATTAATTAAATATTATTTATATCATATATTATAATAGTTTTTTTATGATTTATCTGAAGAGCAGAAGATTTTATTCTAAAAAAAATCAAAACAATTAATTTTGTTTCACGCTTTAAAATAATTTGTCACTTTTTTGATTATCTTGGCAAAAGCTGTCATAATATTTTAAAATAATAATTAAAACTAAATCAGAATTTATTTAACATATGTTTAAAATATGAAAATAACAAATAAATTGAATTCTAATAAGATGTAGCGCATTTAAATTGGAGTCTTCCTGCTAATTTTTTTTGCTAGTTTTATTGTAATTTTTAGGAAATTACTGAAGAATACGAGCAATAAAGGAAAAAACGAGATGTTAATGGAGAGGGAGGATGGGTACATTCAAGTGTATTATTTACAAAAAATCAGTAATTTCAATCATCCCCTATATATTATGTATCATTTGGCCCTTCAATCAAACCTCATTTTTGATGATGACGATTGTGTGAATATAACAGGACTTATAGAAGAATAAAATATTCCAGGCGATTCGGGTATAAATGCCAATATTATAATAACTACCATATTATGAAGATCTAATCCAGGAAATAGTTTTTATATTCCAGATTTAACAAATGCAGGTGATGACGATAATATCTCCAATTTATTTCGGGCATACATGCCATACTACCATATTATATTATGAAGATCTAATCCAGGAAATAGTTTTTATATTCCAGATTTAACAAATGCAGGTGATGACGATAATATCTCCAATTTATCTGACACCAGTTTCAATCCCAAGGAATTAAGTTACAGGAAAAAAGGAGGTTCGTCGATAATAACATCCTCTCTCCATTTAAAGCTTCATTAATAATTCAAAATAATTATATTTTTTATTATAGATTTCAAATGATTAAATAATTTATCGATTTAATTATTTTCTATAATTAAGAAAAACATCTACCCATGCATCGGGTTGTCGGTAATTCCGAACAAAAAATGGTTCTAAGATCTTCGGAGAAAATGAGCCAAAAATTATTTAGCATAATAAAATTATAACTTCATGATGGGTGATCCCACTCATAATTATTTTTGCGAAAAGTCTTACTTTCACAATTCTATGGCACTCTACATCAAAAATGTCCGAAATAGTCCCGGAGTAAGAAAAATTAAAGGAGAAACAATAAATTTGGTTAGCATAAAAGTTGATTCTACCAAAAGATTAGTTGAAAGTATTCTGGGAATTAATATTCAATTTTAAATATTTTACAAACGAATTATCATAATATTTTCAAAATGTCATGATTGAGAGTTCACGTGTAATATATAATGTTATTTTTAATTTATTTTCTAAAATAAGTTTAATATTTAATAAATACATATATATGTATATTTTTGAACCCTGAACCATATATTTAAAAATCATGTGAGGGAAGTTGTAAAATATCGAAGGTTCGAGTTCTCAGCCCTGGTTTAAACATTTGTTTGATAGTGTTTTTAGTTATTCTTGGCACTAAATTGAAGACATGTTTCTATTTCTAACATGCAAATATCTAAGTTAGACGTTGCATTCTGGAAGATGACAACTGGGGTAAATATAAGATATATCAAACCTGAAGGTCGAAATTTTGAGCCGGACCCGGATTTAAAATTTTTATTTTATTTCAGACTCGGATTTTGAGAAAAAAATTTTTCCAGCCCCACCCGCTATTTTTGGGCCAGGTCCTTAATTATATTTTTGATGATTTTACGAGACCCCACCTGATATTTTTAAAATTTCATTTTTTTGAATAATTTTTTAATTGAAATGACAATGAGGCGCAATGTTTTATAGTCTAATAGTTATTAAATTAGTTGATTCAACATTTTTGAGAAAATCCAAATAACTTCTCCGCTATATTTACAAGTTGATTTTATTAACTTAAGCTAACTTGAACCCTTTTTTTTATGATTTACGAAAATTTAATCAAATAATACTAATTATAGAAACAGCAACAATCAATCCTTTTACGGACGCATTTATGAATTTGGTAAATATTTTGTTTAATATAAATTTTATCAGGGTGTTGAACCGAACAGCGAAATCATAATGAACAGTTATAAACCAAACCATTAATTACAAAATAAATTTCAAAAGGAGAGTACTGAACTGTTATTAATACTTATGAACCTGTCTTCACGGTTCAAAAATTATTTATTTTTTTAAATGATACAATTTAAAATATTTATTTAACAGAATTTTCCCGTTGTCTTCGGACAGAAACTCATATTCTAGATACCCAGCATATGTAAACAAGATTTTTTCATTCCTTTCAAATTCGAACATCATAGAAAAAAATTCTATAAGAAAGTAAAAAAGACATTACCCCTATTTTTAACGTTTCTTCGATTAAATGCAATTTTTATAATTTTTCACGCTAAACTTATAATTTATTAAGTAAAAATCAACTAAAATAAGATCGTATTAAAATTTTAAATTTTATTTGCAAATAATATTCTGTATCAAATTGTTTAAATAATAACCAAAATAATCTGAAAAAATTCATATTGCTTAGTCATGAATTAAAAATGATTTATAAATATCTTAATATGAGTAGAATAATCATTTACAATCTAGATTTAAGAGGAAGAAAATATTATACAATAATTTATCAAAATGTTTATTATTGTTTACCGGAATTTATCAATTTACTTTCGTTTGGTCCTCGTTTTCTTACAAATGTTTTTAATTTGCTAAACATTGAATTAAGAAATGGCGAACGGGGGGGGGGGCGTTATCTATAATTACAGTTGATCATATTATTTTTTTCAGAATATAGGATAATTTTGTTCAAATATTTTTGAAAGTGAATTGTAAATCATTTTGTAAAATTAATTTTTTTTTGAAAAGCAAAACACATGCTCATGTTTCTAGATTTATGCACCCCTACGGAATTAATTGGACATTCAGTAACGTGACTCATCCATATATAAATCTCATATCCAAAAATAGCAATTTACTAATCGACAAATCAATATTTTAACTTGGAATTTTTCTTTTTATATTCCTTCGCTGAGGAATGTTGGTAACTCTTTAATGAAGATTAAAAAAATTATTTGTCTATTTATTGTTGATAACCCTAGATCCACAGAGTATTTTAATCATATTGTCTTCCCGCCAAAATATATATGAGAATTTCAGATTTTTAGAGATCTTCCAGAATCACTAAATATTTTTTGGCGATGTCTAAAGTATTATTTATAGAATGGGCATTCCTTACATTAACAGTTAATTTTATTTATTCATTCATTAAAAAATGTATAAAAAGAAAATATTTATTAATAAATATGCTCCTTCTAGGTTTCAACTAATTATGCACATGCGATTTACTTTTTATTAATGTTTTTTAGGTCAATTAACAAATTTCCTCTTGGTGTTTTTAAGGTGACACAATGGGTCTTTGGAAAATAAAATTACTTAATATCATTCCATTAAACTGCCTTAGGTTAAAGAATTTTATTCTATATTACTCTCCAACTTTATAAGGCAAAATTATCTTAAAAATTAGGAATATTTGAGTATTCTTTTCTATAATACATTTTTATAGATATTCCTTTTTTAAAAATAATATATTAAAAATCATTTTTTTAATTGCTCTTTTTAGAATCGACTTTCTTTTAAAGTACGATAAAAATAGGGGTAATGATTTTTTTTTCTATGATGTTTGAATTTGAAAAGGAATAAAAAATGTTGTTTAAATATTTTGTACTCTCATAATATTATTTTCTGTTAAAATAAAGAAGCTAATATTTATTAATGTTTTATATTTATTTATAGGTAACAAAAAGTTAAATCCGCTCTCATTATTGAAGGATTTTTCTCAAAATTTGCTTAAAACTATTTGAATATTGTATATTGTTTTATTATGTACTATATGTAAATATAACTTGCGCGAATCTATTAATCATTATATTTCGATAAAGGTAGTATCACTATGAGAAAATTTTTTAATATCATTTATTACATTGCAACCAAAAAAATTGCATTATAAATATATTAGGGCTATTCCGATATTATCCACTTGTGATATTTAAAAAACCAATTTTATACCTTTTTTAAATAAAATCTTGTTTTAAATTGTAATGTTAAAAAGAATATGAAAATAATAAGTAAATGAACCAGAGTTTGAAAAAATCTTCAATAAATTTGAGCAAAAATTTTTGATTTCATCTTGAAAGATTTTTATGCATGAAACTTATACAAGATTTACTTTTAAAAAATTTTGGAATTTTTAGGAAAATTTTTTTAAAAGTATTATTAACTGATTATAAACCTTTTTAAGATTAATAATAAAATGGTTAAATATTCCCAAAAAGGAACGATAGTATTATATAAAAAATTTATAATTTTATCTTTAATAAAATTCCCTAACATCCTTTGTAAAGTATATACTTTTAAAATAACCATTTAAAATTGCATTGGGAATAAAATTATATAATATATTCTTTTTAAATTTTATTTTCTGCTATATGTATGGAATTGAAGTAATATTTGAGGGAAATTAAGATAAGTATATGTAATCCAGATTATAGGTATGCCAGAATCCCAAAGGATAATAGCACCAGGCCTTATACTATCTTCTGGCAGTAAGTTAAATCTCAAGATAGTCGGTCATATGTGTCACGATTAAATGCTTTATTACGGCATATTTCATGATAGTGTGGAAAACCCCCAAAAATAAAATACACCAGAAGATTCGAAACAGTATTTTACTGATTCTTGATTCAAACTAAGGACTGTGGACTAGAATAAAAGTAATATTAATTCGTTGATTTCGAACCTAAGTACGAGCTAAGGCCTGATGGAACCTGGTATTTTTCTGAAACAAACCTAAGCTAAGGAAAAGTGATATGATCGAGAGGCTAGAGAGATGTGGGTTATGGTTACAAATGTAAAAAAATATTTCAAAAAACGATTTTTAACATAAAACTGAAAAAACAAACAGGTAACTCAGTGGTAGGGTAATAGGGTAAGGTTATACTTTCGATAAGGAAAGGAGATAAAATTGCTTAGGCGTGGCTAGGGGAAATCCACCCCCCCCCTTTAGAAATATGACACTTTTTGTGAATATCATTTTAACCCCCCCCCCCCTCCCCCCTTCCAAAATGTATGCATATTTCTTAAACATTAATTTAATGTATATTATACATATATATATATTTTATACAAACTAATAAAAATATTTAAAATAGTAAAAAAAACAATTGTAGTAATATTTGTAGATTAAGTTTTCCCTGGGATACAAATTTCTCAGTAAACTATAATTGAGGGAAATTTCCCGGAAAAATAGGGAAACAACGGTAAAAAATGGGAAATTTTATTTTCCAGGTCAATGTTGATCTTTTTTCGTTTTATGTCAAAAATATATAAACTATTAACCCTTCAATAAACTATATTATAAAATTTATTAAAACAAAATTTAAATATTTTATATTTTGAATGAGATATATGAAAAAGAAAACAGATTTTCTCTGGTGGATTTATTTTATTTTTCACCAGCTGACTCATTTCTCAAATTATTTTTATCATTTAAATGATTTTTGCAGATTCTGAAACTAAATATATAATTATTTAAGATGTAATATCATTTTATTTGAGGTGATTATGATAATATAAATGAGGATGAATATTTTATATACGATAATGATCATGATACACAATCTGAATTAGATAAAGAAATGTTAGCTGAAGACAATAAACTTAATATTATTAATATGAAATCATTTATTAAAGTATATTTCTCTTTAATTAGCTAAAAAAAAATAAGTTAACTAAATGGAAAAAGGATCTTTCTAATCAAAGAATAAGAACTCATTAACAAATTTAGTTATTCATCTGCCAGGAGTAAAAGAATGAAGAAAGAAGCTGACACTCCAGAAAAATGTTTTGACTTGTTCATAACACCAAAAATGATTGAAAAGATTATTTATCATACTAATGGAAAAATTAAAATTATATGTAAAAAACCAATATGAAAGTTCTACTGTTGATGTGACATAATTCAAGACATTACTGGGAAATCTTTATTTAGCTGGAATTTTTAAATCTAACCATCAAAATAAAAATATTTTTTTTCAAATATGTAAAATAAATTTATGTTTAGAACACATTAATGTTTTATGTAATAAAAGTTTTGCATGTCAAATTCAAAATATTTCAATGTTATATATTTTTTTTATGTTTGAATGTATTAGTGTAATTTTTTTTATAATGAAGAATAAAGATCCATATTATGAATTATCATAATTATCTGATAGATAAGTTATATTTGAAATTTAAAAAAAGTAAGCTTTTTTTAAAAAATTTTGGCACAAATTATAATTATCCTCATCATCTTTAATCTAAGCTTAAGAAATAAATATTTTATTAAGTTTAAGGTTAGTTCTAATATAACTGGAGATATCTACATTTGAAATTGGGGTCTATTAAACCCCACCCGAGTACTAATGTCATTTCTTTCACCAGAGTATTGAAGGGTTACTATGTATAAACAAGTATAATATAATTTCAATTGTTTAATTTGTTATCTTCTTTTGAAACGATTCTAGATCTCTAAATCTAGGTATCCAGAAATTCGGTTTATAACATCTAATCCTTTATCAACAGCTTCATTGTCTTTGAAAATAAATCTGTAATATCAAAGGTCAAGTATATGAGTAAGGTGATGTATGTCCTGGCTACAAAAAATTTCCCTAATTTTTTTATAAATTGTTCGATTTCTATAAATTTCGTTAAGAGATTTCCCTGATATGATTAACATTATTTCGCTTCGACTTCCTCTATTTGTGCAGAAATGATTAAAATTATATAGATGTGCAAGATCATTTAAAAAACTTCATTGAGAATTTTTTTCGTTCTTCGATATATGTTACGCTAAAAACCATATCCAATTCTTTTTACCCTCTCCCCTTCAGGCCAAGTCCAACCCTTTAAGACTAAGAGTGATATTTTGTGAGTCAAAATATATTTAAATTAGCTTTTACTTGAGACCCATATCTAAATTCTTAGATTACCTATCGGTAATATTTAATATTAAAAAATTCCAAGCCAGGTCCAAGCCCACAATAATTTTGAAAAAATTCTCAAAGTCCGGTTTAAAACCATAATAATTTTGGTAGTTCAGAACTAAAATAAAATTTAAAAAAATTATTAATGCAATTAAAAATGCTATAAGAATCAGAGATCTTCATGGCCTTTGGATTTTTGATCATACCCTGCTATATTAAAAAATTTAAGCTTCCAATACCTTAATAATTTTGAAAAATATTTCTCAATCCCAGCCCAAAATAGTTTTGAGAATTATTTCACCCTGGTCCAACCCATAATAATTTTAAAAACTTTTTCCCAAGCCCGGCCCATAATAATTTGTAAAAGATTTTCCCAAGCCAGGTCAAAGCCCATATTAATTTTGAGGAATATTTTCCAAGCCTAGCCCAACTTCATAATAATTTTGAAAATTTTTTCCCAAACTAGGATATAGTTAAATTTTTAATTAATTTATCATCAAATGAAGGGGAAATCTCTGATTCACCAGACATTCTGCTGGTTAGCTTCTAGTATAAATACAAAAAAAATCCTGTTAATACGTAATAGGGAAACTGGAAAACCCTGAGCACACCTCTTAATAGAATCCTGACAAAATCAGTTCTTTCCTAATATTTTTATAAGAAATAACAAATCTTACCTCGTTTTATTGGAGATAACCCCAAAAAATTAAGTTATGGAGAAAAATATGGATTAAAATTACGTCCACTGCTACAACTCTACAGACAAAATTGATTTTTATAATGCTTGATTATTGTTTGCATCATTATTTGTTATCCCTGAAATAAAAATAATATTTTATCCTGTAAAAAAATGGATGTTGATTTCTAGCCTATTTAATATGCAGTGAATATATTTATTTTATTCACGTTTTTATTTATAAAAAGATGATTTCTATATTTTTGTATTATGATTTAAAATTATTCTAAAAAATAAATGTTTATTCCATTGGCTTATTGTTGTTTTTCAGATAAATTTATTGTATATCTTGAATTTCCGAGTTATTTATCAAAGAATTTGACAAGGGCCATATTATCCTGTTACGAAATAAAAAATGCTATTTATTTTAATTAAAAATATGCCATTCAATATTAATAAAACAATTAGCTATTGCAATTAATTTATATTTTATAAAAAATAATGAGGAATAATTATTAAAGGCGTGTATCTGTTTACATTTTGAGCAAATCCTATGAAATGCATTTTAATTTTTGACGAAAAGTGGCAAATATGGGCGTTCGTTTGGAATTTGATGAAGAAATAATTCACGCATAACTTCATCCCATTTAAGGTTGCGGGTGAGAGTAATGAATAATGAGGGCTTACCAAAGCAGCATATAATAGCCATGGCGTCCTGATAATGTTGATGCATATGCCTTGGGCCACGGGTAAAAGAAGACAGAATGTTTCTTCTGCCAAGAGTGTTAGTAATAGTATCCTTCTCTAAAATAGCATCATGAATGCTTTGATAGAGTTCTGCGTGTAATTTGGACTGATTACTACGTATAGAATTTAATCGAAGCATTTTCTGTTTGGCACAACTGTCCACGATATATTGGTGCAAAAGACATTTTGATCTTAAAATAATATTCTCATCATCAAGGGCCTCTTCTAAATAGCTAAAATAAAAATAGCTAAAAATATAAAAAATTGGGAATCCTGCTTATATATCTTAGAAATTTTTTTAAGTAAATTTAAAAATATTATTAATAGATGCTAAGGAATTAAATTCTTGTATTTAAATTAGTTTTTTAAAAAATCGCTAAAAATGAAAATTAATCATTTTGAATATATATAAGTGTTTACTTCCTAGCAACTATTAATATTATTTATAATATTACCTTTAAAAAA